GCAAGAAGAGCGTTGCTTTTTAAGCCAAAATCGCAAGTTTTACCTGTTCGGCACGATATTATGTATAGATATTATATTTTATACACGCACTGTACAGATGCGAATACACATACATGTATATACATAAGGTATAAATATTAGTGTGTAACCTACAGGCTACAAGTACATACATGTGTGCGCGTGCGTGACATTGACGTGGATGGTGAGGGTGGATGGTGACTATGATAAGGAGGACAATGATGATAATGAGAATGATGATGGGTGTTTTTCCTCAGCCTTTTATGGTGTTACTATTGACATTAATTATTATTATTATATTGTTTGTATAGCAGTAATATTGACCACTTACCGTAAGAATAATCTAGCAGACGAAACACTCGGTTCAATTTTCAATCACTTTTTCTGTCACTTAAAAACCACTTGAAAAACAAACTCAGAACTGGCTGCCTCGCAAGCACCAAGTGCAGATTTCAGAGTTCCTGATAGCATCGACCATTCGCTGTGGTCATTATTGCACAAGCGAACACGCGCCAGGAAAATGCTGATACAACAGTGGTAACGAGTCTTCAGTGCTGGATCACCATGGTAGTGGGAGGGTCGCTGTCAGTAGCACCACCGGCAAGACTAACTCTCCCCGGCTGCCACTGCCTGACTGTGGTTGCTTGGTTGGTTAATTGGGCTTAAAGCCCATCGACTATGCGAGGGTCATTATGGCTTCATGTCACATGTTCACGACTAGTCAAGACTACTTTAAGCCCTAAAATAGGGACTAAAGGTTGGGTAATAGGGGGGTTGAAGCCTAGTGACTACACTTAAGGTCATCAACGCCGCACATAATCGTTTCACCACTAAATAATATTACTTTATCTCTAAAATAAGGATTAAAGTAAACTGTCAGCGTATATACGCCGATATATACATATACACTTCTCAGTGTATATATCTCGTAGGAATTAAGGTAGGATCCCCACATATATACTGACATACACGTCTCGGTACAAATACACCGGGATACATATACATTTTTAGTGTAAATAACTAACTGATGCTTCCAATCTCTCCATCATTCCCAAGTCTGAGCATATTTGTGCGTTGTTTAATTTTCTTGGTAATTTTATATTACTGATGCTGATACAATATCCAAAAATATAGTAAATACAATTGAAATATATATGAATGAGAAAGAACAGTAGGGCGATGTGGGAAGAAGAGTTTACCTGAGAATAGAATGATGGAGGGAGTGGTGGGTGAGGGTGAGTGCTGGAGCCCTTCACACCTAACTGATAATTACTAGCTAGGTAGTCATGGCGAAGAGTATTATCGTGTGTGTGTGTGTGTGTGTGTGTGTGTGTGTGTGTGTGTGTGTGTGTGTGTGTGTGTGTGTGTGTGTGTGTGTGTATACTCGCTTATATGTGGTTGCAGGATCGATTCACAGCTCCTGGCCCCGCCTCTTTTCTGGCTGCTACTGGGTTCACTCAACTGGTGTCGAGAGCCTTATCGTACCTCTTTTCTAAGCTATACATGGATCCTTCACTGTCCAAGTGTGCGCGCCCGCGCGCGAGCGTAAAAAACGGCCATCAGATTCAGCCATCAACCAAAGATGAATAAAATGAAGCAAAACTATGTTTTCAAGACAGGTCAAAAATAAAAAAGTCACAATATCGTGGCTGGAACAATTCACCCGAAACTCACAGGAACCTTATGATAACTTTCGGGTGACCCTGAACCATTAATCAATTCAAATTAGCCCAGGATGGACCAAAACGTTATCCTATGGCTCCTGGCGTAAGTGCAGGTTTATAGTGAATAATTCAATTTTTATTTCGGTCTCATAGGCGAGGAACTCTGCCTTTATCAAGAAACTATTCTCTACTGAAATGGATAAAAATAGCAGAAAAATATATTAAAAAAAGCCCGCTTTACAAGATTCACATATGGTTAATCGAGGGGGACTGTTGTTGTTGTAAAGAGTGACTTTTATTTGTCTCGCTGTTGTTATCAAACCCATATTCATGCTACAGTCCGCCAGTTGTTAATTGTGTCGGGTCTTTTAAAGGTCGCGCAGAGAGTTTCCCGATACCTGACAAAGTCGGGACGGGATAAATTATAATTATTAGTTTCGAACGAGAAAAATGTATACGAGGATAACCAGTTTCATTCACACATGTTTCCCGACAGAGGATTTCGTTTTCTGTAAAAGAATAACTCATTCCGGGGCTGCTTGAGCCTCTGCTGCTGCGTTACAGTGTCTGCCGTTGTGATCTGCATGTCTGCCGTTGATAAATAAGAGATGTGCAACACCAGTTGCAGATAAGATAATCAGTCCCTCAGCCTTGATAGAACGCGTTAGGTCCTTTAGGTTTGATCAAGCTGACGAAAGGTGGATGGACACTTTTAAATACTGGAACCAGAGGAGACATGTAGTGGTTGAAGATATCGTCATAGATGGGCTAGTTCCACTAGTGGAAATCATGCCCAAGAATTGGGCCAGAGATTATAA